AACAGATTTGGAGAAATGTAGCATTGCATCACTTGCCCACCAATGGTTGCTCTGCAGTGAATGGGTGCCGTCAGAATGAGAGTCCAAACAGCTGATAAAAACATCACAATAATCCACAAGTAATCCACACCACTCCAGTCCATCAATTAATGTCTTGAGAAGCAAAAAAATATGTTTGTAAGAAACAAATCCATTATTAAGGCATTTCAAACTATTGCTTACTGCTAAAGAGTCCTTTATCCATAATATTGCGTTGTCTGGTCAGCACAGATCAAGAATGGTTTACAAGTGAAAACGGTACAAAACAGTTCTGAACAAATAAGTTGGTGGATTTTGATGTGAAAGGACAACAGGGAATTGACTTTTTCATTGAAGGAAGCATTATTATGGATTATGGACTCATATTTTAGCCAGAAGCAATGCTGTAAAATTAAAACAGTCTAATGATGGATTTGTTTTTTATTTTGTTTAGTTTTTTTACAAGCATGCAGCTTTTGGCTTCTTAAGATGTTAACTGATGGACTGGAGTGGTGTGGATTATTGTGATGTTTTTATCAGCTGTTTGGACTCTCATTCTGACGGCACCCATTCACTGCAGAGGATCCATTGGTGAGCAAGTGATGCAATGCTACATTTCTCCAAATCTGTTTTGATCTACATCTTAGATGGCCTGAGGATGAGTGAAATTTCAGCAAATTTTCTATTTATTTTACTTTTCATGCTCATGTCAAACTGTACTGAAAGTCTTCACTTTGCTGAGTGAAACATTGACAAAACAACACATGTATTTCCCTTCAGACTTTTTAAGCGCGACTTAAGTGACAAATGCTTTTTTGGGCCCATGGCCCAATGGTATTTCCCACTGATAATACTGCACTTTTTTGCAAGAGTTGAAAGCCAAAGAATACATTTTATGTTCTTATTATAGTGAACAAACTATTAGCAGCATCACCTGGTGTGAAACAAGCATCTGGAGCCATAGATTCCTCAAGTTCAAAGTCCAAAGCATCTTCTCCATCTTTTCCGAAGTGTCTGAGGTCCACCGTGCTGCCCTCCGAAGAGCTGGGAGCCACGTCAGACAGCTTCTGCAAGAGCAGCACAGACACATCATCACGTGTTACCATGGCAACGCATCCACGTCGCCGATGAGATTAAACATGTGCACATGGTTTCTGAAGTCAGTCGTTTCAGCTGAGTCACTGTGCAAAGGCTGAGATGTAAGGCTTGCTTGGTGTGATGTCTCGGATGTTTAAAACCCTTCATCTAGTATATAATATACAGTGGTTCATAGGTATTTCCAAACAACTTACAACATTAACTACATCAATAAGCTCTGAGATGAATCATAGTATAAAATAATATACATTTAAAGATTATTGTGAAATTTACTGTACAAACATTGAAAGTTAAAGTTGAAATCACAATGACTTCTACAGAAGTATATACAACCATTTCATAGCAGCTCATAGTAAGCATGTCCTAAATGATTCATATGTTTATACAGTCAATTTTGTCTCTCATTAATATTTAATCAGTCACTCGCTAAGGATTTTAACAATAAAGAGCCAATATATATATATATATATATATATATATACTGTATATATATGTATATATGGGCAAGACGTTCTTCGTCTGATTGAATGACCTTCTAGTGGATCAGTATTGTTATTGTTGACTAAATTTTAAATATTAATATTAATATTAAAGATCATTTTTGGTAATTATATTTTAGCTTTATTTTAGTAAAATATAAACACATTTTGAACTTGAAAAACTTTAAAACCAAAAAAATTACAATTAGAAATGTAATGTTTAATTAAAAATGTAACTTTATAGAAATATATTAAAAAAACTAAAAAAGTAATAAAAATGATAAAATCACATAAAATTACTAAAACAAATGAAATTTAAACTGAAAATGAAAAAATAAGACTGAAGTCGTAAAATTAATAATATAAGTAAAACCAAAAAATTTGACTAAAATAACACTGACGGGATATAGTATTGACTGCAACTATACCAACAAGACTTCAGAGGCAGTAGGAACCACTGATCTATAGTTATATAATATATATCTATAATATATTATAATATGTAACAATATAATATATAATATTATATTATTTATATGGATCAGTGGTAGGAAGTGATTGCACATCAGGTGAATAGCATGTATAGTAGCACATGCGTTTTAGTGCACTTTTTCAGCAAGTTTTCATTTCTGGGTGAACCATTCCTTTAATATGCTGCATTACAGTAGGCAATGGCATGCACATACGGGGGGTGGGGGGGCACCCCTTTAATCGCCGACACTAAAGTGCCCTTTCGGTCCACGATTTCTGACAGTAGGTACATGGTGAAGTTTGCTAAGCAAAAAAAATCTGTTAGATTTTCAGATAATGCAGCTTGTGGAATGATGCAAGCATGCTATGATGAAATTAATACACAACCAAGACGTCTGGATGACTCAAGTCCTTGTTTGGCCCCAGACCTTTTCTGTCTAATGACATTTGAACAATCAGTGCAATAATGTAATTGGTTTGGACATCTAGTATCTTTTAGTAAAATGCATGGAATTCCCAGATAATGGTGATTTGTTTGGCTAATTAGTGTTATGCATTTGGCAAACGTTTTTCTCCAAAGCAATTTACACTGCATTGAAAGTATGCAATTGATCAGCTCATGCATTCTGTGGGAATTGAACCCATGACATTGGCATTGCTCGCACAATGCTACTGTTTACTGTATTTGTAAAGTTGCTTTCAGACAAAATCTTCAATCAATCCACTGTTGTCAAGCACTCTGGGATTCTTTATTATGCTTGTCCAATTAACTTTATGCCGAACGAGAACCATTTCTCGATGGTTGTATGTATTTGCAGAGAGGCCTGAAATCTACTGTAACCGTAATGACTGAAATGGGACACTAACACCATTATCTATGACTGAAGATGAATAACAATGATATTAGTGGTATGGCAGGATTTGAAATGCACAAAAAATCCATTAGGTAAAAATATTTTCTTTTTCATTAATGACAATAGCTGTCTTTATGGTTAGTTGGGATGCATATTATAAAGGTCTTACAGGTCTCCACTGATTGTAAACCTTGAAAGCGTCTCAGAAGTGCTGCAAAGACAGATCACGTTAAAGGAGTGAGACAGACAACAAGGAAAAAACACTCACTGTCTTGTCTGGAGGTAAAAAGATTGGTCAGAGTGCTAGAACGACAGATAAATCAATGGGAGCAATAATACAGAATCATCTGTTGAAGTCTAGGAGGCAATCAATCAGAGATCATGGCTCTGGTCCAAAACGTAGTGAGCTGCCTTGCTGTCTGCTGCCTACATTATCATGCTAACTGAAATCTGAAATGCAACCACATAAGCTACTGATCTAGAACACTCTCAGAAAAAATTTGTGTTCCACATGCAAAGTTTACAGAAGAACCGATTAGGCTAACTGTAACATAGCACACAAACATTGGATTAAATAGTGTTTTTTTATTGAGATATTTTTAGAACTTTTTAAGTATTTTTATTATTTGGTTTATTATATTTACAATCAATATTTCACCAGGTTTATCTACCAGCTCACTGAGCCTGTTGCATTATGGGAATGCCTTCTTCATAAAGGATACATTTAATGCTGTCTTTTGAATGGATTATACTCTATGCAAGTATGTGAATGTAAACATTTTGTGAGTTATTATAAGGAGGCAGAATCGGTCATTTGGATTTGGATTTATTTATTCCAATTAATTAGTTCACCCAAATTAGCTCACCCTCATGCCATCCAAGATGTAGATGGGTTTGTTTCTTAATTTGAACAGATTTTGGAGAAATGTAGTATTACATCACTTCCTCACCAATGCTTTTTGTGCTGTTTTAGACTGCTTTTGCTTGTAAACAGTGCTTAGTCTGTGCATATTTCTCTCCTGATTTAGGCAAGTCAACGTTTCCACTGGAGAAAGCAATATTATGGCTAGATGACTCATATTGTAGCCGGAAGCAATAGTTTGAAATGCTTTTATGATGAATTTGCTTCCTACAAACATGCAGTTTTTCACTTCACCATATTTTAACTGATGGACTAGAGTGGTGTGGATTACTGTGATGTTTTTATCAGCTGTTTGGACTCTCATTCTGACGGCACCCATTCACTGCAGAGGATCCATTGGTGAGCAAGTGATGCAATGCTACATTTCTCCAAATCTGTTCTGATAAAGAAACAACCTCATCTACATATTGGATGACCTGATGGTGAGTAAATATCCAGAAAAAGTTGATTTTTGGGTGAACTATTATTTCATTGTTCTGAATTATTGTAGATACATGATAAATTAAAATGGTAATTCAGCTTCCGGTGTTAGGCAGTGTTATGCAATCATTTGTCCTGACAATCCTTAAAATGCTGCCTACATAGTCAGCTCACTGGATTTTTGCAACAGAGTTTCAACTGAAAACATATCACCCTTCACAAAACTGAAGCAGTAGACATTTTAGGACAACTTCAAAGAGATTGCCATAAAAAACAATCAGTATATAGTCGGTAATATGCCAAAACCACAGACCGCCACATCCTCGTTTCTCAGCAGAAAGCAAATGAGCATGTTATCATGAGGCTAACATTCACACTCAGCACTTAAATGGCAGATAATGCGATCTGAAGACTGATATTCCCTGACCATTATGGCATTATGGATCAAGCTGCATGTTGATGTAATCCACAATGCACTTAACTCCAATTAAACCTACTGAAAAAATGACCATGATACCATGATTACACCAATGACTAATTCAGTGACACAACTGAAAATCTTTCATTTCTGGCACCATGTACGTGACAATAACTACAGCAAAGGACTGGAGTCTGCAGGAGAAGCCATCATTTGCACTGTTATTCAGGTATTTGTCCCATTGTTCGATCATTAAGTCGATATGCAGGGATATTTACATTTGATAGACGCTTTTATCTAGAGTGACTTACACTGCACTGAAAGTATGCATTATATTTAGAAGTTCATCCATTCCCTCAAAATCAAACCTGTAACTCTGACATTGCAAAAAAAATGTCAGCAAAAATTTAGACTAGAATACGGTGGCCGTAAAGTGCAAAGCAGATCACAATTCTGAAAACAAAATAACAAATTACAAACGCAAATGCAAGTCTAAAAAACAAAATAACAATTCAGAAAGCACAACAACAATTCAGAAAACATTATAACAAGTCAGAAAGCACAACGACAAATCCGAAACCAAATGAACAAGTCAGTCAAATAACACAACGACAAATCAGACAAACCGGAAAAGGTAGGTATAGTTTGAGACAGCGCCATTGGTTTGGGATTACTCACCGCTGACTGGACGAGACATCTGTCAATCAACGTATACAGAGAAGAACCAGCCGAAGAACAGCAGAGTCGTGGTAGAAAGTTCGGGGGTGTATATTTACATTTAGTTAAAAGTTTCTTTAAAACATTAGATCCAGTGGTGCAGATGGATAAGCACTTGCCCTTGGCTTTTTGACGCGATCGACCCGAGTTCGATCCCGCCTTTTGCCGAACTTTTTTTTTCTCCCTTTTCGAATCTCGTATTAGCAATGGATTCTATTTACACTAAGTGAAAATAGCAGTATTTTTAGCAATATGCTATTTACACTAAGTGCAAATACCTAGTTACACTATGTTAAAATAGCAGGATTTCTACTATCAAGTATACTACTTGTTGCTAATAGTGGCAATTATCTGCACTTCAGTATTGTAGTACATTATAAAACAGTATGCAATAATAACGTATTGAGTGTAAATTATAATTTAAATTATTACATGGATGCCACCTTATTGGTACAATAAAGCCCTCCCTACACCTACCCTAACCCTACCCGATACTTTATTTTCAACTTTTTGATTATTTCCTTAATTTTTATTGAAAATAAATGCCTTTACGATGTGATACGAGATTTGAAAAGGGAGGGAAAAAAAGTTGGGCAAAAGACGGGATCGACCCGGGGTCGATCGCGTCAAAAAGCCAAGGGCAAGCGCTTATCCATCTGTGCCACTGAACAGGTCTACAGCCACTATTTACTAAATGTAAATATACACTCTGTATTTTT